TCGAGCGACGTACTTCGCAGCTGCATGAGCGATGTGCAGTGAAGAGGCGGAGAACGCACGACTGCTGGGATTTGAGGGGCCAAGCAGATAACATCTCCATCTTCTTTCTCACCATCGTCGTCAGCACCACAGCGGCCGACATCAACATCATCACGATCGCCAGGTGTTGTGTGTGAATCACCAGCGGAGGCAACGACGAACGCGAAGGAAACAGCGGTGGGAAACTCACCGGATACACGGCGGACAGAAACTTCCACAGTGCCTAGACACCCTGTGTCACGGGGGTCGTCGAGTGTCGCCGGTCTTAGCGGACAGGCGCGTACCTCATGCAGCAGCTTTCTCGATGAGGAAGCCGCTGTCAGTAATAGTGCTGTGGGAGTGGTGCTGCCTCTAGGACAGCACCCACATGATCGCGGTGTGTGGCGCACGGCATGCCGTTTTGGACGAAGTGTTCGTACGACTGCAGCTGCCACCGCAACGACGGCTGAGGAGGAACCATGTAAACCGAACTGATGGGAATAGAATAGATGGCAATGTGTGATGTCAGTGAGAAATGGCAATAAGGATGCATATAGTGATAGTATTATACATAGAGAGAGAGAGAGAGGGGGGAGCAGCGTGAGAGTGATGGCGTTTGTTGATGTGTGGATGGGGCGCGGTCATTGTACTGTTTGACTGTTCAGCCTTCTTCCCTTCTTTCCTCAACACACACACACGCAAGTGCACCCAAATTTATACATTTAGACGTGCGGGAACTAAACCTTATGCTAACGAGCCTGAGAGTGAATGAGGGGGGCGGGATGCAACCAGTGGGCTCGGGGTTCCCAACAAGAATTGCGGAAAAATGTGTTGTTGTTGTTTTTGTTGTTGTTTTTTTTGCGGGGGGTTATGGATTTTCATTTAAATTCTCTCCATTTCTTTCTCTTTTTTTGTGCGGGTTTCCTTTCCAATGTAAAGTATAGAAAGAGAGAGGAGGGGAAGAGAAGGATGAGGAGGGACATTCCTTCCGTCTCCACGTCTCGTGCTGAGCCACAGAAGCAGCAGGGAGGGCATGCCGCTATGACGTTAGAGAGCACCCGGGCTTACCTGGATCATACATGTGTTCCGCTGCTTATGGAAGCGATGGCTGCCGTCTCGCGGGTGCGTCCCGATGACCCGATTGATTTCATTGCCCATTATTTGTTGAAGCACAACCCGAATCGCCGTGGCACGAACACACAACATCTGGACAACGATCCACGTGGGATCTGGCGTAACTGATAACCCTCTATTAGTATTATTATTAATATTCCCTTTTTGTGTGTGTTCTATATCGTTGTGGCTGTTTTGTTTTTGTTTTTGTTTTTTTTTTTCTTGTGCTGGTAATGTGTGTTAGTTTGTAATGATGATATTTTTTATTTTTCTCAGTCTATGGCATCACATGCCTACACCATTTGGCTCTCCTCTTTTCTCACCGTGGAATATTGTATATATATATATATATATATATATATATATTTATTTATTTATTTATTTATCCCTTCTTAAATACATGTACATAGCTGTAGATAGCGGTGTCTCTTCTTCTATTAGGAATTATTCCTTTGTCATATCTCGGAAACGTAAACAATTTTATATATATATATATATATCCAAGAGAATTAATATATAGAATTGTATACTTGTATACTTGTAAAGATACATTTATACTTATCCGTGGGGGGGGTTGCCTTGCAAGGGAGAAGGCAAGAAACGAGGGGGGAGGGAAAAGTGAAACGTTTCTTTTGATGTCATCCAAAACTGGCACTTCTGCCATTGCTGGACAGCCAAAGGCTGCCGCACTAGTGGCAACGGTCTTTCAGACGAGTCTTGATAACTTGCTTCTCGCGGCAACGCGACACCGTAGCATGATCACACTGCGTGACGCGGTGCAGTCAGCACGTATTAAAGGGTTTAGTGCGGAAGATATCTTCCATACATTTGTTCTTGCCTGTGATACACTTCATGGTAAACGACCGTATCGTCCACTTCTCATGCAGACACTTAGTGACTTGGGGAAAATGGCCTCGTTGCGAATGTTGCCCATGTCATGCAACGTTATTCACGTCATATGTCACCTTGTACAAAAGCTACTGGGTCGATGTCCGAGTGGGAATGTCAACCTCTTGCAAAGTAGTATTCGTAGTACAACAGTACGGGGAAGAAGTGGGTTTGATAGTATTGCAAGCAGCCTCCTACTGGACGGGGCATCAACTCTTGATGCGGAGTTTCGTGAAGGGTCAACTTCCCAATACCCTGGTAGTGACTCGGCTATAGATACGCATCCACCAGACGAGGAGCTGCATATGCGCATCTTACAAACACTCATGGCATACTTGTCAGCCTGTGAATTTGGCAATGCTGCACTTGCCGATATTATGAGTATCCTCTTTCTTGTCTACACGCAGGCGACACCGGAATCCATGGTGGAGGCAACATGTGCGGCAACGATAGAAGAACGCACGCAGGCGTTGCTTCGTTGCTTACGTAGTAGTAGCGATGCCAAACAGGTGGAGGATGATGGCGCCTCTTTTACGGCGCAGATTCAGGCTGTGGCGTATGCGAAGGATTTGTGTGCCCTCTGCTCCGGGGCCACGCCGAAGTGGTTGAAGTTATCCCTGCCGCGTCATGGCTCGGTATCCGGTGGGCCATCGGATTATATCTTTGCAGGCATATGGACACCACCACGTCGACTGCGTCTTTTGCTCTTGCGAACTCTCATCACTCATTTCACGGAGAGTGAACGGATTCATTCGATACATGAGACCAACGTCTTTTTCACGCAGTACCTGAACGAGGATGTGGTGTCACTTGTGGTGGGTTCTGGGCGGAAGCCATTGCATGTTCAGCGACACCCCGAAGAAAAGAATGTTGAACAGAATATGGGGACGATGAATCTTGTGGATCTCGTTTTGCCAGACGAGCAACCAAACAATGAGGAATTTTATCTCACGCAACAACTTGGGGTTATTGCAATTTCAAAGGCGCTGCCAGTTATGCGACACGCCATGCCAATACTTCTTCGACATCACGTGATGCTTGTGAAGTTATGCAGTGAAGGGGAGGATGGGGAGCTGGGGGGAAATGCACGACGCATGGCGGTTGTGTTGACTCTTTGGCAAAAGGTCATTGCAGACCATGAAATTTTGCAGCAGCTGCTTCTACTCACAGGCTCCAATAGTGTCTTGCTTCCAAATAGACCGCCAACCGTATCGTCAGCCAATATACCGTCACCAAAAAAACAAGGATTGCGGCGGCCAACACGAGCATCTGAGGATGACGCGGCGGCCCTATTGCTGGACTCCCCTCCTGATCAAGGTGGTGTAATGGCAGATAGCACAAATGAAAAGCATCCCTTTGCGGATCTGGTTACTGTCACAGCAGAACTTCTCTCGGATATCATTGTTGCATCGGGTGGAATGCTTAATCTTGATAACGTCAGGGCGAACGATAATAGGAGTCATCCCGGCGCTTCTGCTTCTGCTGCTGCTGTTGGTGGTGGTGGTGGTGGTGGAATTGCTGCCGCTGGTGTTATGGGTGGCGGGAGTCACTGGAGCGCCATTTCAATGGCCTTTTCCCGTCCGCTGCACCTTTCGAGTACACCGAAGGCAACTCCAAACCAAGAGGACGGTGAATCTTCCTCACCGGAGAGGGCGTTGACAAGTATCATGGCGCAACGACATCCAGCGACAGGGCAGGCGGCGGACATTCTTAGCTTCCTCACAATAACCTCGCAGAGCTTTGCACGGGTGGTAGAGGCATCGAAACTGGGAAGCTCCCCCACGAAAACTTGTAGTGGTCCCACCACCGTTAGCGCACGGGAGGAATTGACAGCCCTCTTCATCTCGCTACACTCTCCGCTTCTTCGCTGCTTTGCCCTCGCGGCCCAACACCTTCAAGGGGATGATGTGATCCATATGGTCTTAAAGGGCGTCACACATCTTGTGCAGACATCCTGCAATCTCGCATTGCCCGCTCAGCGTGAGAGCTACCTGCAGATTTTTGTCTCACGCCTCTACATGAAGCGGGATAAGCAGTTATTGGAAGGAGAACTGGTGGGGACGCGTTCGAAAAATAGAGTCGCGGAGGACTCTGCATTACCCGCCAAGGTCACAGGGGCAGCTTTGGGCGTGGGACATGGTAGGAATTTGCCGGATAAAGTCACACCACAAATGAAACATGCTACCGTTTTGCGTCGGTCGTTACAATCTTTGCAAGAGAAACTGTACGTCTTGAACTGTGTGATCTCCGTTGCAAACTGCATGGGAGCCTCTCTTGAAGAAGGTTGGCGCCCTGTAGCCTCGTGTCTGATCTTGACAGAACCACTCCTAAAGGATTATCATCGTCTAATGGAGCAGCAACAAAAGCAACCGCAGTATG